CCCCCCCCCTTCTCTTCTCTCTCTCTCTCTCTCTCGCTCTCTCTCTCTCTTTGGTGTGTACAAGACGACCCACGTCCACACGCGACGCCTCCCCGGAACATTGTTGCTCACACGGCCAAAACGTGGCCAAGTACAGTTGACGGCGCAACCTTGGACGCACGCACATGTAGGTGGGTAAGTAGATACAGACACATGTAAGTGTATGTAAGTATGTACGTACGTACCCAGACGCGGTCAGCGTGGCTGCATTGCTCGCCATGCAACAGGCGCCGGGCTTGTCGGCCAGACTCGAATGGTTGAAGACAAGGCGTGCCCAATCACACCTTGGCCTGCACCACAGCAACCATGCATTGTCGTCATCACCTCTGAGCAGACTCGGCAGATCTGCGCCCTATCTACCTCATGGGCGATCAATGCCTGATTGCGAGCTTGGAACACTGCCAGTGGAGATTGTCGTGTTTCCCAGCCTGCAGCCTGGAGAACAGACGATGTGCCGCCATTCCACGTGTGCAACCCCACCTCAAGGCCCTCACGCCCAACGCCTCGTCGGCCTGCCATGCGAGACATGCCTCCTTGGCCACACGCATGTGCATCCATGTGCATCCATGTGCATCCACCTACTGACATTACATGTATTACATAGGCCCACACGCCTGCCCGTGTAGTCCAAGTCTAAGTAATCGCCCTGGACCCTTCATCCTTCCCGACTCCTCGTGCCTCTCCCTCTCCCTCTCCCTCTCCGCCGTCGCCAGCCGCTTGCCTCTGTCGCCCTCGGCATCGCTCGGACTAATCACCGACCGCTCGCAGCGTCATCACCACAAGCCTCGGACGCCTTCACGCATGCGGTGAGTAAGCAGCGGGCTGCCCATCTCTTCGGACCCGACCACCTATCGCACCTATCATATCCCGGACCGCGCCACAGTCGCCCAAACACTGTCCATCTCTCAGGGCCGTGACCATCTGAGCGCGAGGCTGCACCACACGGCCGGAAATAAACACCCACAACCCACTTTGGGTTTCAGGGCTCCCGCGGGGCCCGGCATAATTAGGCCCCCGACGACCCAAAGAGCCCATCTTTTGCTACTCTCAGTCAAGACGGCCCTCCCTTATTCGTATTTACATACCGACTTGCTACTTTCTCCTACACTGACTATGCTACCAGCACCGCCGCTGACCCTGAGCCAAGCCCAAAGCACTTCCGCTGTGCAGCCATCTCTACCCTAGCGCAGCCAAAGTGACGACGACGATGATGCTGATGATGATGATGATGCAACAAAACGATGAAGCCCTTGTAGTTTCCCCTCCCCCCCCTTTCCCGTCGCGTAACTTTGGCGACTTGGGACACCATGCGGCTTCAGCATTCTGCGCTGCCAAATACCTCTAGCTGCTGTAAACGAATCTTGCCATCCTTGCTACCATTGGCCCACATTCGTTGGTCTGGGGTTTCGATTTTATTTTATTTTATTTTTCTTCTCTTTCTTCTTTCAAGGGTTTTTTTCCCAGCTTGGCCGCCCTAGCCGCAAGAAAACTGACTCTGGCAGTTTCCTTTGGCAAGATTCCCATAGCGTCTCCAACGGGAAAAGATCTTCGGCGCTTATGGTGACGAGTCAGGCCAGGCTTTGTCGAGATAATGCCGTGAATGCCAGGGGTCACAACACGTGGCAACCGATTCCTTTTGCCTAGCGGCCGCTGGCGTGAACGATGTAGCATAGTGTAACACCGACGCGTCTGCCCATGCTTTTTCCCACGCTGCCAAAGCCAGGCATTCGATTTGCATCGCATCGTGAACGCCTCTCGCCAAAGCCTCTCAGCACTACTGCAAGGCTGGCCTGCAGCACCTCCTCATCACCATCACCACCAATAAGCCGCACTCGTTGGCCTTTGGCACAAATTGTCAGCATGGCTTTCCGACATGCTCTTTCTGACACGCTTCTCATTTGCAGCTTGTTTCAACAGGGGTCTACATGATGCCCTATGCGGCACCTTGCCGAGATTGAGCGTATCTCCTCACGCTGCGCTGCTGAAGACTTTTATCTCCACCCATATTGCCCTGGTTATTGCTCTCGTCGTCTTTTTTTTTTCTTCGACACGGTCATTCTCTCGGGTGGGGCTTCCGGTGCATTTCGCCCGCCGCACAAATGTCGGTGAGACGACAGTACGCTCGTGATACACATTCATGGGAGCAGGGAGGGGGTGTTTGGCCGATGGATTCATCGATCTCGACCAGTCATGAACCAAACTCGAGATCTTCAGCTCTGGCTGCCCCAAAACTTCGGCTCCTGACAAGGCGCAAACTGGACGCTCGGTGATGCCGGCTAGTGTTTCCAAAAAGGCGAGACGGTTATGGCCAGCTAGCACGTGATGGTGCCGCGGCTGCATCCGGGACACATTCTCGAACCCCATAGCCCAAAGTATCGAGACATCGCGCATGATATGCTTCAGCTATGCAGACTGTGGCGTCTCCTAGCAGTAACATGTAATCACTCCTAATCACTGTGTCAGTGCGAGCGCCTGTCCTCGCAATATCTGACTCGGCTCGCCGACTCCATGTGGAGCTCGTCGGCGGCCCTACACCGATGGCCCCACGATGCCCTTCATGCCTTGAACCTCCTCAAAGCACTCGGGCATTCTCCAAGGCCCAGAAATGGTCGTGCGCCGTCAAGGAAGCGCCGTCAAAGAAGCGCCTTCGAGAACAATTCTTGCCGTCTTCCCGCACCACGGATGATGCGCCATGTCTCCTCAAATCCATGGCTCGACTTCGGGAAGGAGCTCCATGGAGTAGTCTGGGATTGATTTGCGCCTACTAACGGTTAACTGACTAAGGATAGTCGTGAACAATTTTTTTTTTCGCCCGCCATGACCGTCACTCGCCGTCACTCGCCACAATCGCAGCAGCAAGACAGAGTCGGGGACTGAGCTTCTGTGATAGCTTGTCCCGTCGGTTCATTAGCACCTAACATGACACAACCTATACGAGGATGAGAAAAGTTGTCGCAATCATGCGGCAGCAACGCTAAGAGCCATCGAACCACCACATCGTGGGGCTTGACTAGTGAGGGACACTGGCTTATGTGTGTCTCTGTGTGGGGGTACCCGTTAGTAACAGGGGAGCAAAGAGCTGGAGTCTTGTCTCGGAGCTTTAACAGCAGCCCGTCACTCACGGCTACACCACGTCCGCCCGTAAGACACATGGCCCAGTGCACGCACACACGCCTCAACCCTAGGTCGTCCCTCGTTGCGACGGACGGGACCAGTGCAAATTCACCAACTAACCTCCTCACCGCCCACACAATGGATCCAAACCACTCTTGCGCGCACTCTAGCCGCACTAACTGCCCTCCGCGGGGACATGGGCTTCCTCCGCGTAACCATAAGTACGCACAAAGAGACGGATAAACATTTAACTCTTGTCTGTCCTCTCCTGCCTTTCGCGGCACCATCCCCACTGTTCCACGATTACCTCCACGGCATCGCTGATGCCGATGCCGTTGCATCGACTCATACTGATGGTCGGCTGTAGGGCTAGAACATAGAGTTGCTGCCTGTCGCAATCTGTGCAGGCCACCAGCCAATCGTTCATGCCTACTTCCACCTCTTCGGTATCACTCTCGTGCCATGATTGCACTCCTCGTACCGCCCCGCGGCCCTCATAATAACCCCGTTATACACCGCAAACCCTTGCTTGGATGATCGCCAAGGGGCAGTTTCTGCCAAAAACCAAGGCCGTTTACACGCTCTACGCGACGTTGGCAACAAAGCCCTTTGACAATCATACACCAGGCAGAATTGGGACAACCGAGTAGTTGAACGCGGCTAACAGCAACATGGTGAGGCTTACAAAGATTTGACCTGATCTACTTCGTAATACATACACGACACCAGCATGCGACTGAAAACGGCCTCAACTCAAACGGCTACTGCCAGCTTGGGGGAAATTCGCTCAAGGACGAAGCCTCAGCATTGCGATTGTGGGCACTCTTGGTCTTGGAAGGTACCATGTTCGCAAGTACCTATGGCAACTGCCCCTAGTGCCTCAGAAGCCCGACAGCACATGTGCCAAGACTTCTCATGTCGCGTCAGAGCACCCCGTTCGGCTGTGACTGTATGGTATTACAGAAGACAGAACACGCATAGTTTCCAGGTTATGTCGTGTCAATGTAACGTCAAGGCTATATTACTTTGAAGCGAAGGAAGCCCGTACTAGTGGCGCAGCATCCAAGCGTCTGTAGGTAAGGGTCTCGGCGCGCCACGGTACCCGTACCTGAAACTCCACCCGCGAGATTACTTGCAATCGCTTTCAAAAAAAAAAAGAGAATTTCCCAATACGTGCAACACGGGTCACTTTCCCTTTTGTGATTTTGGTGATTGCGCTGGCGCCCATGTTCTTGGTCGAGCGGTATTTTAGAGCCTTTTTTGCCGGCCAATCTTTACTACTAACTTACATATTTGTCTTTGTGTGCCCAGACTTGTCCTCATTCCCACTTTCCCACTTTCCCGGTTTTTTTTCTCTTGTATGTGTGTCTGCCAAGTAAACAATGCCTTGCGAGAGAGGAGAGCGCCATTATATTTCTCGTGTTAGAGAAATTACAGAAAAAAAAGGGGGGAGGGAGAGCCAGCAGGCGGAGTCGTCGGTGGTGGTGGTGGCTGCTCATTATTGCAAGTATGTGATAAGTAGCGCTGCAACGCTCATCACACTTTTGCCATATCGGATAACGGAAACACGGTATTCCGTTGCATATGATGGCCGTTTTCTACTCAGCTCTGCTATTACAAGGGTTTGGGGAAACTCTAGCGCGCATGCAATAACCATGTGGGCAGACAAGTCAAGAAAAAAGCCGTCATGACTTGGTTAATAAGAGCACACATATATACTCCGCGGGCGTTTTTTTGGGTCACACTCCCCCCCCCTTCCCCCCTTCCCCCACGCCTCAACGGGAACCGCTAGAGTTTCCTGTATACGTCGACGTTTTAGCAAGAAATTCAAGAATATAGTTCACCCTGACACACACACACACACACACACACACACATCCTTTCAATGAACCAGGGGCTCCAACCTGATATAGGGGTGGTGTGGTTGCCCCTACCACCCAAACCATCTGCACCGTGTTTCGAATGCTTTTTTTTTGCCTACAACTTATTCAAGCTCCCGGAAAATAAACCGGCTTCTCTCTGGGTTTAAGAGGGCTGTTCAGCGCAAAATAAGCGTGATGAATGTCATGGAGGAAAATGTTTTCTTGTGGGCTTTTTTTTTTGGAAGTATCCTGAATCCGTGGAAAAAGTAAGGTGGCGGCTTGAACAACGGTGATGCGTGTATAATAAGGTGGTCGATTAAGAGCTAAATGACTCGCTCTAGTAGTATAGATTCTCCTCGACATGTTTGTGGGGAAAGAAAAAAAATGAAGTCGTGTACGAGATGTAGCACTAGACTTCCTAGACAATTTGATTTGATGGGGTAATCGGCGCTACGCTATGCGATTTTCTAGCTTTGTGGTATTAAGAGCGGGATAATTTTCATTCAGGAGAATATGGGGGGGTAGGAGTGGCGTCGAGTGAATCGGTATACGACATGTGTGCTTCGTACCTAATGCAAACCATCATACTCTAAAAATGCTAATCGCGTTGGTACTAGTGTTGAAGTAGCTGTGATATATCATTATGCCTCAAGTAGTACAGTTTGGTTAAATCAAGAACGTTGAAGCGGAATGTGGACCCTAACGCTAGTAGTAGGCGAGTTTGGTACGTGACGATATAAGTACATCGACGTCTTACTTCTTTTCACACTTAGATATCGCTTTTTTTCCCAGGTGGTGTTTGAAATAAAGTCAATAAGTTGAGGTTAGTATAACATTTAGTACATCGTACACTGCATCTCTACAACTATTCAAAGAACATTGTTGCATCACACAAACCACATATACACCAGCAGTGACGACTTATCAAACAACAATCAAAACCTCTTGAATACTCGAAAAAGATTCTCATGAGAATACATCATACAATAACCTCAAATCGTGATACCATAACACCATCGCTCGTCAAAAGTCCAATATGATGGAAAATAAAAACAACCAGGGTATCGTGCTTGCCCCCCAAACCGAAAGAAAAAAAATCCACTCAAACAACAAAAGACGCCAAGGAAGACGAAACGTAAATAGAGAGAGAGTTTTACTGGGGACCTTCAGGTGTAAAGCCAGCGGTGGCATTCGGCATTGTCAAGATATGTAGAGAGTGATGGGATGTTTTGTGCCGGGGACCTTAAGGGTATTAACCCAACGGTGGCGGTCGGCGTTGTCAAAATACGGAGAGAGAATGTGTGTGATGAAGTGTTCGTGCCGGAGACCTTCAGGCATAAGCCAGCGGTGGCATTCGGCGTTGTCAAGGTATCGAGAGAGTGTGAATCCGGGGGACCTTCAGGGAGTAAACCCAACGGTGGCATTCGGCATTGTCTAGAGAGAAGTGGCATCCGGCCCTGTCAACAAGTGCTACCTAGCAGTTCGCTGGAGCATTCTTCATCTCGCCTGTTGACAGGCTGTCGAACCTGATGTTTGGCTGGGTAGCGAAAATACCCAAGTGCCTGTACTCGATATGGTAAAGCGAGTTTGGGCTGAGATTGACGTAACAGCGTTTCTTGAACGCATCAAAACCGGATGCCACTTTGGCCACGCGGACCTCTTCCGCTTGGGCCTGCTCCTGTGAGTTCTCACACAGCACAAAAAACTTCCACTGCCAATACGGCTTCCTGTTTTGAAGCCGCTGGCCGCCGAAACTCGTCACCAGCCGGAACTTCACGCATTCTTCTCCGTTCTTGCCCCGGTACTTTCCGACAACCACCACAGGATGTTCCTCTGGAGAGGAGCCATCCTGGCGTTGCCAGAAGATGGAGCTTGGAGGAGGCGTTCCGAGGTATAAAACTTGCCCCTCTGTGAGCTTGTCGAAATCCGGTGTCGTCACCGGCTTGTCGAGGGACTTTGGCGGGGAGCCACTCCGCCAGTTCTTTGCGTTTGCCCATGAGTTCTGGGACTTTGGTGGTGACGATGATGATGGTAAAGAGGAGAAGGAGGGTCGGCTTCTCCAGGAGTCGGATGATGACGAAGAAGAAGAAGAGGAGGAGGAGGAGGAGGGTCGGCGTCGCCAGGAGTCGGATGGTAATGACGATGATAATGAAGAAGAAGATGAGAAAGATGATTGGCTTCGCCAGGAGTTCGCTGATGGTTCAGCTTGACCCCACCGTGTGTTGCCAGAGGATGCCATTATGATGTTGGCTTGTCATTAGAAGAGGATTTATGGGTGATGGATGGTGAAAGATGAATGATGATTATGTTGAAGTTGTCTTAGTTCTGGTATCGATGTTGGTGGATGGATGGATGGATGGATGGATGGATGGATGGATGGATGGATGGATGGATGGATGGATGGATGGATGGAGG